TAAAACCTGGTTATAAAAGATTGAAAAATAATCATCCTTGCAGATATAATAAAAATAGTCATCTATCCTGTAAACTTTACATAAAATAAGGATGAATGTAATGTACATGTTGCATCAAAGTTTTTGTTCCAATGGTGCATCATTTTGAAATATATTGCACAAACAGAGAAGAAAATGATTGGAGGGAAAAACCGTCAATGGGATGTTCTGAGAATATTTTGAGCAAAGGTAAACAAAAATTCATCTAAAGGAACACAAATCTTGTTTGTTTATTTCTATTATAGGTGTCTTGTAGGAAGCTTCATAATTTAAAGATGGAAATTGCTGTGAAAATGAGAGTGAGATAGAGAATGTGAAGGAAGAAGAGGGATAAAGATAGATACCAATAGGGATAGAGTGAGAGATGTGAATGTGATGGATGGAAGAGGAGAAAGAGAGATTGTGAAAGAGTGAGAGATGGGAATGTGATGGATGGAAGAGGAGAAAGAGAGATTGTGAAAGAGTGAGAGATGGGAATGTGGAGGGTGGAGGAGGAAAAGAGAGGCAGAGGGAGAGAGTGAGAGATGGGAATGTGGAGGAAGAGGAGAAGGAGGGACAGAGTGAGAGATGGGAATGTGGAGGAAGAGGAGAAGGAGGGACAGAGTGAGAGATGGGAATGTGGAGGGTGGAAGAGGAGAAGGAGGGACATAGTGAGAGATAGGAATGTGGAGGGTGGAAGAGGAGAAGGAGGGACAGAGTGAGAGATGGGAATGTGGAGGAGGAGAAAGAGAGGAGGGACAGAGTGAGAGATGGAAATATGGAAGAGGAAACAGAGAGAGGAAGTGGGATAGAGAGATGGGAATGTGGAGGGTGGAAGAGGAGAAAGAGAGAGGAAGAGGGACAGAGTGGGAGATAGGGTTAAGGTTTATCCTTTTTGGGAGGATAGATTTGATGCAAAATAAAGGATTTCCTGGATTTATTACGATGCTTACCATTTATCACACATTTGAAATTTCGTCAACCGCAATTCCCTTCTCTTACTCTCATTATTCCTCTGTCTATCTTTGTTGTGTCCATGCTGTTATTTCTCTTTCTCTCAATTTCGTTTTCTCTTTCAATTTCATTTTCTCTTTCTCTCCCCTTTTCTGACTCGGCAGGTTGACTGTATATGAAATGCTCAAATTATTAAAACAAATTACATTGCAGGGTGTATAACAAAAGAGAAGGAACAAGGCATGTTGTGTTTTTTTTGTTTTTTTTGTTGTTGCTTGTTTATATAGATTTCAACATTCTTCCTCATAAGAAATCGTTGCTTGATCACAGTTTTGCAAAAGTTCGAATATCAGCTCTTGGAAATTAGAATCAAATGTCGAGATCAAAGTTCATAGCAACCATACCATCATGAGAAGTTCAAACAATAGTATTTGTGATGAATATGAAGATGAAAGCCGATGATCACAAATAACGTACAGAAGATGGCTGACAATCACATAGAAGATGACAGTCATTCAAAGTTCGCAAGACAATAGTTGATGTTACATCCTCATCTCAACCGACGCAGGATGGTCCCTTTGTACTGACCACGTCCATCAGGATACGCTTCCATTATTGAGGCATGGACACATGCTGGCAGTTGCACCCTGATGTCCTTCCCGAGCCAGCCCCAACACCATCTCACGACTTTCCTGTAGGCCACATACCTGTATTTTCTGTAAAATAAAAAGCAATAAAAAAATTTCATTATTTTTCTTAGGATAGATGATTTGATGTCAAAATATTAATTCTTTATTAATTAATTCAGGAAAATAAAAATGATTAAAAAAAACTAAAATGACCAAGGGTTAGTCATTGTTTGTCGGGCGGTGGGGGGCAACATTCAAAATCGCATATAAAGTTTGTGTTTCATAACTACAGATTATTGGGGGGGGGGGGGGGTAACATGCTAAAACTCACAAACCGGTGGTCATTCTTGCCTATTTGTATACATTTCCTGAAAAAGTGCCCCGAAGCACCTGCAGATAAGGCAGCTAGTACACCAGTGGTCACCAGGCAAGAATTTTGGTCAAAACTAGTAATTCATCTTGCGGTGACTCAATTCGTTTTGAAAAGTTTCACCCAATAAACTTTCAAAATCAATCCATTTATTTTTTTGCCCTTGCCAAAATGATGAAAAGGAGAAACATAACTTACTCATTGTTCCTGTCCCCAAATGCTTTGGCTGCTCGGCGCCACCTATCTGTGTACTCCATCCATCCGATGTACAATGTTGTCGCATTTAGGATGGCCGGCTCAAACTCCTCAGAATCCACCAGACAACTTGAACCCTGTCGATCAGCCTCTGCCTTGACCTCTGCAATTTCCTGACAACAGACACAATCACCTTCATTGAAAGATGGAGGCACACGACATCTTCCACATGTACACCTTGAAATACAGAAAGATTCAAACAAAAATCAATACACCTACTATAATTTTATAAATATTTTATTACAGCTTCCTGATAAATATAAAAATGACATCGTTCTCGTAGTCGTAGTATGGTAAGAGTGCCCAAGGCAGTGCCTATGTCTGCGCACCCACGTAAATGCGCGATATTTATAGAACAAAACATCAAACTGACACCAATTTTCAATCTTAACCTCAACAATTCATTTAGATACCAAAATTTGTGAAAATAATTGGGAAGATTAAAAATGAGTTTTAGCAAGTTTCATTTGCCACCCTGAAAATTTCAATCATTGTCAAAAAAGAAAAGTCTGAACAGGGGGTTGTCCCTGGTATGAAACTTCACTGTGCTTGATTGAATTGCGTGCAAAATAGTGAGTGCGTAGACATGGGCACTTTTCAGTTTTGCTACACAAAATGACGAGCCCGTCTGAAATTCGTTAAAAAAAATTGTTCTTGTGAATAATTTGTCGAGTTTTTTTGTTTCAGTAATCATTAGAATATGAAGAACGGAATAACAATGATGATTCTAAAAATAATATCTTACTGTGTAATGAAATCGAGGTCGAATTTTAGGTGCGCAGACATAGATCTAGAGAATCATTTTAACAAGTTAACTTTAGAATTAGACATGCCATTTATGACCGAGTCTAGAGATCTACGGTAGGCTTATTTGATTTCAATTTTGGGGGGGAATAAATATTTAGAATGCACAACAAATTCAATAAGCTTATAAGTCTTAATTACCAATCCTCGACATTTTCATGAAGCCGATTTGCGTTGTTGGCCCTTCCAGCATCGCCAACATTTTGCCCAGGTTCACCACGAGGCCAGGTAAAGGCTCATACTCCCACTCGACGATACGCCCGTGTTCTCCGGCGTCTGCATCACTTGCATCGCTGTCGGTATCACTGCTGCTGCCAGTACTGTCCGGACTGTCACTACTACCACTGACACTGTCATTTTCACCGCTTTCCCCGCAACTGCCATCCTCCTCACACTCAAATTCCATAACTAAATCATCTTGTGCATCTGCCCTGACGACTGGGGTAGCCATTCTCTTTAGAAAGACTTCTCAAAACTTCTCAAACTTCAATCGATAAAAAGCAGAAAGGATTCACGGTACGCAAAATCAATGTAGATCTCGAACATCGCGCGGCGAAGAATTATAGCAAACAATTCGAGTCTACACGAAATGACGTCACCCAAGTCCGTGCGGCGCGGGGGCTCTTGACCGAGGCGAATTTGGGAGGGGGCGGCAGTTGTACTGTAATTTTCATTTTTCTCAGTAATGAAAGGGTATTTAATTTTTTCTTTCTTGTATTTGTATTTTGTGTTTCATTAGCCGTCTGTGGATGTATGGTTGTTTACGCTCCGGTCAAGGTCTTTAATATATCCAAGGTAATTCTATAAATAAAAGAATATTGCATGCATGAGAAGTGCTCTAACTAGTTGAACAGGCAAATTTTGTAACTTTGGGATACAGAATTCAAATGCTCGCACGTAACGGTACACACATCAAAGTATCAAAAGTCATCTGTGAAAACAAAAGATTCTGCTGCACAAATACTCCTTAGGCGATTTTATCTGTCAAGAAGCACAGACCGAGGAAGATACATCATATAATATGAGAAAGATATTAAAAAGAGGCACTAGATTTGGTGTTTTCATAGCACAGTGAGTGGGAGCACCGTTTTAAGCGAGGAGCAAAAATCAACAAACAGCCTATTTATGGCAATTATCTGGTTTCACTTCTCATTTATAATGAAATAAGCAAGCCACCATCGATTGTTTTCTTCCTACCTGCTGTTTTATAAATTATAGCTTGTAGCGCTAGCTCTAAATTTCCCCACAACATAACACACTGTAGTTTGTGTTATGAGACATGATACAGTTAACAACTAAATAATTCACACCCTTACCAAGTTTTGCAATTTGTCGAGTATGCGAAAAATGTATTTCCGCCAACTTATATTTCTTGAGAATATGACATATTGTAGCTTACATCTAAAAGTATTCAACAATGGCATTAATTCAAACAGTCCATCCTTCATTCTTAATTTTCAAAAAAACAAATATCTATCAAATTTAGAAGGGGTGTGAATAATTAAGTTGTTAACTCTTGAACGTGGAGAGGTCTACATGTACCTGTAACTGTTTTTAAAGAAAACAAGTTTGGAGAAAGTTTTACCTTTTTCAGATGATAGTGCAGAAAACATCTTTTTTTTTACTGTTATTTGTATGTGATATCTTATTGTATGGCAACACACAAATTCAAAATATGACTGCAATTTTTTTTAATCATTCACAGATAAATTGCATTCAGTGTTTGATTGTTTGTTGTTTTCAATTGTGTCATCTTGTTGTCAACATACTTCTGAATGTCATAGCCAAAGTACATGTTCACAAACATGCAGTAGCCGACTATAATAACCAAGGCCTTAGAGGAATATTTGGGCTGAATAGGGTAAACATGCAGTAAAAACTTGGCATGATCTTTTCCTATTTCAACGTAGGAACTACTAATCTGTAATGCACAAAATGTAGATTTTTATTCAAAAATTTACTACACATACCTCATCGATTTCGTTGATCCACCTCGCTATGCCATCAAATGACCACCTGCTTGTGATGTCGTAGACCAGTAGGATGCCCTGAGCGCCACGCGAGTACGATCTCAGGATAGTGCAGAATCTGCCTTGGCCTGACGTATCCCTTTAGGAGAGAGAAGGAGGAGGTGTCATACATGGTAATAATACATGTAATAATTAAAAGATGATGATGAGGATGATGATGATGATGATGATGATGATGATGATGATGATGATGATGATGATGATGATGATGAGGATGATGATGATGATGATGATGATGAGGATGATGAGGATGATGATGATGATGATGATGATGATGATGATGATGAGGATGATGATGAGGATGATGATGATGATGATGATGATGATGATGATGATGATGATGATGATGATGAAGAAGAAGATGATAATAATAATGTTTACGCAGGGAAGCCTCGTCAGCATCAGTGTTGGACTCCCTGAGAGCCTTGCAATTATCATCACTCTAGCAATAGGCTGTTTTCGTATTAATGTAATCTAATTTAATGCACAAATCTTTGTTAAGTGTCATGTTACAAATTATTTCATTCACTTGTTACAAATAATAGTACTTTAATCGTCAGAATGACAATTGCATACAGTACATTACCTGTTGTTAGGTAGGAAAAGCCATAATGTTGATCCTACCTAGCAAAACAATTAATGTATGCAATTCACATTCTGACTATTGAAATACAATTATTGTAATAGGTGAATGAAATAATTTGTAACATGGCACTTAATAAAGATTTATGCATTAAATTTTATTACATTATGAAAATGGTCAATTGCCAGGTACCTATCGACACCTGGGTGGAGAGTAGCAAATGTGGATTAATGTCTTGCCAAAGAACGTTAGTGCCGGGGCCAGATTAAAACTATCAACACTTGGAATGTTGGTGAAGTGTATTAACCATTATACCGAGACACCTTCATGGTATAGCGGTTCATTCACTTGACTTACAAGCATCCCATCTTGGAACTAACATCCTCTGGCAAAACATCCATCTGCATTTGCCACTCTTGAATACCTGATATGCGTGAGTATTAATTAACAGGGATGATAATGTTGAAGCACCAAGAATGCCACAGCATGATGGATATGAGCGCTGTACAAAAGCCATTAGTAAAGAAGATTGAATTCAAAATTAAATCTGCGCTTCATTGAAAATTGGTGAACTGGAGTAGAAACTGGAGGGAGCTGTTCATGAGAGAAAATAACGAGCACATTCGTATTGTAATCATTTCCGCCGACAGGATACAGAATGTGAAGCAGAAGGAAGTCCCATCATCATTAACAGATCCATGTTTTCAATCACGACAGACTGCTTGTAGGTTGATCAATTTGTAAGATTAGTTTCACCATGGGGATTACAAAATGTTTTTAATTGTGACGCAAATATGCTGCTTGTAGTTTTTGTGGTTTTAATGTGTTAGATTATTTTCACTATGGGGCTATATACATCACTTCTGAAACAGTTGACAATATATTATTTGCAGATTTCAGGGAAGCATATCAACAGGAGGGGGGGGGGGGACCTTGGAAAATACATGTATTTCTTTGTAACTTGAACTGAAATTTTCTCCAAGATTTTTTATTTATTTATTTATTTTATTATTTATTCGGCAATTCACAAAAATATAACAATGTAAATATATAATTCAAGTCCGGTTTCCTTAAAATAACAACTCAATATCCCAGCATTTCTTCCAAGGAGGAGAACCCATCCATTGGCCCCCAAATCAATGCACGCTTGAGTCTCCAGCCCAAGCCAACAACCTGCCTACATCTTCACTGCTGAGAGTTAGAAGGACATGAATGTGTATACACTATACTCTCACACAGAGTTAATGCCCTTCTGGGTCTCAGCAGTCAATATTGTGGCTAGGTGGTGTGGGCGGGAGGCTTAGGACCTTCTGAGAGTGCATCAATTTGAAAGCGAGAAAGGCGTTATCTCACATGTACTCTAACACAGAGTAAACACCCTTCTGGCTCTCAACGGATGATATCTCCTCTGCTTGTTTAGCTCGGCCAGGCAATCCAATTACATGTCAATCCAATCTCAGTGGCTAATGGGTTAAACGCACTCCCATGCACCTCCCCCCATCACGGAGGACAACGACCCGGCAAGGGCCGGACACCGCTGTCCAGGTGAAGGCACACATCCATCCATTGACATTTCAACTTATTGACTTTTCAACCGCCAACTGCATAAGATGCACGGTTGAAATCGCAAGGCGGAAGAGGAATAGTTCGGTTGGAGATGAAAATTGTGGGTTTGTGGGTTTGAGCTCAAAAAAAAAAGAGGCTTGGGCAAGGTTGGACGCCGGGGATTATTGGATCAATGCGATTGGTGAATGTGTCGCTGCACAAAACAGTGCAACAAATTAACCCAGTTGGAAAACGGGAGCAAGATTATGCTAGATATTAATCTGAAATATAGATATATATATAAGGTGGAAAATCCTGATTGCAGATCTCAGATGGAATATCCAGGTTCGATTTTCTAAATCAGCTGTGAATATCTGTCACTTATTTTGAACATCTGAATAACCTGCTTTTGTCATTAATATACAAATATAGTTCAATTTCAACTCAAGGGACAAAAAACTCAAACAGTCGACATCTTTGCTTTATATTTTGGTTTTTCTCTGTAGGTAAGGCACTTTCTTCAGTTTTCCAAGAAAGCTTTTTCTTCTTCTTCTACACCTTCAGATTCTAGAGTAAGCCAACAGTATATGACTGTAGTTAACATCAAAATGTGAGGAGAGATGGAAGATACGTTTGTCAGCAACTAACAAATAACTTACCATAGTTGTAATTTGACTCTCTTTCCATCTAGTAATATTGTTGTTGTCTTGTGATCAATGCCTGGAGAAAAGATGAATAAAAGATAAACAAAAGCATAAGTCAGATCATTTCAAATCAATATGATCTCAATGACGTATCAACTGCACATGTCAGTTTTATGTTCTATATTGATGCTAATGTACATATCAATCTACATCCATCGCATAGAGGTTTTCCATGGAACGCATTGTCATAATGAAAGATAAACAAAAACAAAAGTCAGAATATAATTTCAAATCAATAAGATCTCAATGACGTATCAACTGCACATGTCAGTTTTATGTTCTATATTGATGCTAATGTACATATCAATCTACATCCATCGCATAGAGGTTTTCCATGGAACGCATTGTCATAATGAAAGATAAACAAAAACAAAAGTCAGAATATAATTTCAAATCAATAAGATCTCAATGACGTATCAACTGCACATGTCAGTTTTATGTTCTATATTGATGCTAATGTACATATCAATCTACATCCATCGCATAGAGGTTTTCCATGGAACGCATTGTCATAATGAAAGATAAACAAAAACAAAAGTCAGAATATAATTTCAAATCAATAAGATCTCAATGACGTATCAACTGCACATGTCAGTTTTATGTTCTATATTGATGCTAATGTACATATCAATCTACATCCATCGCATAGAGGTTTTCCATGGAACGCATTGTCATAATGAAAGATAAACAAAAACAAAAGTCAGAATATAATTTCAAATCAATAAGATCTCAATGACGTATCAACTGCACATGTCAGTTTTATGTTCTATATTGATGCTAATGTACATATCAATCTACATCCATCGCATAGAGGTTTTCCATGGAACGCATTGTCATAATGAAAGATAAACAAAAACAAAAGTCAGAATATAATTTCAAATCAATAAGATCTCAATGACGTATCAACTACACATGTCAATTTTATGTTCTATATTGATGCTAATGTACATATCAATCTACATCTATCGCATAGAGGTTTTCCATGGAACGCATTGTCATAATGAAAGATAAACAAAAACAAAAGTCAGAATATAATTTCAAATCAATAAGATCTCAATGACGTATCAACTACACATGTCAGTTTTATGTTTTATATTGATGCTACATCAATCTACATGTCCATCCATCCCATGCAGGTATTCCATGGAATGCATTGTCATAATCTTGCAAATCAATCGCTTAACAGAAATCCCAGGAAACCATTTCCATCTCTCTATCTTCCACATAATCTGATTTTTGCACCCATTAGCCTCTACAAATCTCACGCATCAGATCACACGCTCGATCTGTTGGGCCAATTTTCCATCAACGCACACTTCATCAGCCACGTCAAGCCTTACACAACATCCCCCAAGGGGACGGCATATTTTTCGGGATGAAATAATTTCCAGGTATTGCAATGCAAGGTGATAGTGTACATGTCAGGCATGATAGTGAAACAATTGAGGTTCTGTATTCTACTTGTCCAGATTTAGCACTTAGAATACACAGAAAGATTTGTATTTTTAGGATTATAAATTGCTGTATATTTGCAATTGTGACATGAGGGATGATGGATCGTTCCTTTTTTATTCTGAAAACAGCTACATGTAATATCAATAAACTATTAAAGAATGTGCACAAATACAATAGAATGAAAGCAGTAAACAAAATGAATTAGGCCGATAACTCATTAACCCTAGACAAAAACTTATATATTTTCGAATATTTGGCATTTAAGGCACTTCAGTCATTACACTAGAAAGCAGAAATTTTTGGGAATATTCAGTCGCAAATATCATTGGGCCTACATTTAAAAAAAAAATCTAATTTGAAATTTTATCACATACAAATTACATATTTGTCTCAACTGTAATGAATAATCTGTACCAAAAAATAAATAAAAAATGTCAAAATCTGTTAAAAGAATTTCAACATGAGCAGGCCCAAAACAAGGAAATTTCTTTCCATCTCTCTAAACATCAAAATAAAGGAATACTACTATCATATAATTTATTCAAGCCACATAGCTATGCATACTCATTGCCTACCATGTACATTGTACAGAAACAAACAAAATAATAGAATGTTCAAATGACCATTCTGAAAATGTCCAGACGGACAAAGGCTTAGCTGTAAATGACCATTGTATTAACACTTGTATACACACTTGTATACATTTTGAATCATTCTCCAAAATTGATTGAGAACTGCAATTCCAATACTTGTCATATTTGTTGAACACTGATGTAAATTATTATCACCTCAGTCTAAACACATTTATATTGCATGTTAGTTTATTCTGCTGAGATGTAGAGCAGCCATAAATAAATAACAAGTTTCATGAAGTTATCTACAAGATTCACGTAAATCATATCTCATCTCTTTCCTCCCATTAATTACTAATTGACCTGCTTATGGACATATCTGCATGCAACATTTTGTTTTTGATCTCCAACAAAAACAGTGGGAGAAGAAAAAGAAGAAGATTCTTTTCTGGCTCTCAGTATATTTGATAAAAAAATATGAATGAATTTTGATAATAGGCATTCAAAAATATCAATTTCATCTCATTTTACTACTCCTATCACTTGAGTGGAAACTAAACTAAACAGCAAACTCAAGATCAGCAGATAATCAGATCTGTATGATAACATTCTATTCAATGCAAAATGAGGATTCCCTTGCTCTGACACAAAAAATATGCGTACAATGTAGATAGAGTAACAGAGTGTAAGCATTTAAATTGACGTTTTTACAACGTCACTTCCGTTGTTCAATAAGCATGATTTAACATCTTAGGGCGCGTTCATGCTTGATTTTGACGGCCAGAATCAGGCATCTGTTACGCGTTTAGTTTAAAACACGGTTGCGTCTTAGCTCACTTTTGTAGAATCACCGAAAAACGGCGATCACGATCGCCGATCGTAAACTCACAAAAAGATGCGTTTACAATTTGTAAACGCGTTTAAATGGGGTCAACGCACTGACCTCTAGTGGGTCTACGTAGCATGCACAGTGAAGGTTTGCGAATCCAGCTGGAAGACCAATTAAGGCCACACACTGAGAATTGCCTGGGGGAGCCAGAGAAGTAAGCATGAACACTACATCGTGGAACTGCGATCACGATGAGCGTTTACGATGAGCGTTTCAGATCGCTCATTCTGCCTTCAAAATTTAAGCATGAACGCAGCCTTAGAGGCATGTATCTGAACCTGCCCTGCAACTAGAGATTAATCAGCACTGCCTGACCACACTAATCTGTTACTCTCACCAGGTTTTTCTCTAAATTATGCAGATTGACCATGCCAGGAGATGAAATATTCAAGATGCATGAAATTGACACCATCCATCCACTGGAAGTAGATGGAGATTGTAGAACACATGTTTGTCTCATTCAGAGATGTTCAGTGATTTAGGACAAGATGATTTATCACCGAGAATCTTTCTTCTAATCTCTGTTTTATTCATTTGTATTTATTTATTTATTTGTTTGTTATTTACTTATTGATTTACTCATTTCAATTATCTATTCATCCATTTGATTTTATTTCATGATTTATAAATCTATTTCTTTATTTTATTTATTTATGTATCTTCATATATTGTTTGCTTGTTTCCATGTATATATTTAGTTAGTTATTCATTCATTCATCTTTTTAAAACTAAAAATTCACTATTTCCTTTGTTTATCTTTGAAGAAAAGTGAGTTTAGGAATGAAGGGGTGCTGTCAATTATCCAAGATACCATGAAATAATAAACAACCTCTTTCGTATTTCCTGATGAAGTCATTCAAGGAAATCATACAAACATGAACTTCCTAGAGCTTTAAATTACAAAATATTTACAATTACGAATATCTTCCTAAAAATATATGGTGGTAATTATTTCTCATTGTCCTCTGTCATTGTTTTGTTCATATGATATCAATGACGCACTATTGCGATGTGTATTTACGGTAAGGCAAAAACCACAGACTGCGGTTTTCAGTCAAGACTTGTCATATAGTGGCCACTTATGTATCCTCACCAGGAAACTTGAAAAATGACACAACCTACAGTCTGTTCAGAGCCAGAAGGGCATCAGTAACTCTGTGTTAAAGTATATCACTTTAATAACGCCTCTCTGGCTCAAAACAGAGGCTATCGCCTAGACGGAAGGAGAGGACTAAGCAAGGGTAACTCTGGATTGAGAAAGGAAATTTGTCCTAAATCAGAATCAATTGTTGAGGGGATGTAGGGATGAGTTGTATTTATAAAGTCAAACAAAAATAAAGCTATTGGGGTTACTAGAAGACAGGGTGTATGCAAGAGAGATATGTACAAAGTAATGCGATTATGGTATTACAGCAAAGTCTTGACAGTTTCCCTGGAAAACAATGAATGAACCTGACTCACTACATGTACATGTATGTGTGACTGATACTTTCGAAAGTAAATCAAAGTATTGGGGCCACTATTCAGATGGAAGGAAAGGGTGTGAGAGAGAAGGGAAAGGGGGTTGGGGGGGGGGGGAAGGGAGTTGGGGGGGGGAAGGGGGTGGGGGGGGGGGGAGAGAGAGAGAGAGAGGTAGGGGAAGATACATTGTAAAAACAGTCCATGACAAAAGTTCATAAAACAAAAGCGAATATGCCCTCCCTTTCATCTACATGTATATTGACTATATAATGGCAGATTCATCAATTCTGGATCAAATCTGTTTATTTATCAAACTAGAATCTTCACAGCGACTGTTTTACAAATTATCTACTTGGAGGCAGATGGGTGTTAATTAATACAAGTTTATACAGAGATAACATCCTTCTGGCTTCCAACAGATCCTGACAAACTTAATCAATAAAAAAACAAAAGACATGACTGTATATCCCTAATTGAAATACAAATGATGCAAAAAATGCACAATGATGTAACATCCATCCACATGATGCCTAATGCTCTGGAAATAAATACAGACCAACATGACCAAAACAAATGACACAGCACTAAATAACACAACGTCACATACTGTAAAAGTAAAGCTGTAAACATTGAACAAAA